TTTGACTCTTCCTGGTTGCAATTTAAACTGTTTTTTCTTCTCTTGTGCTCTGAACCAAGCCTTGTATTCTTCCTTAGATTTTTTTTACTACCTGAAGGCAATCATTTCTCTCTTTTCATTCTCTCTGCCCCCTGACAGTAGATCATCTTTTCTGCACATCTCAGTCTCACTGTATTCCACTAGTCTTGGTAGGTTTCATCTGTTCCTTGATATCTTTTCTCCAAAACTGGACAAAGAATTCTAGCTAGTACCGTAATCTGTGCTCTGCTGCTGATGTAGCTTGTGTCTTTACTTGAAATTCGGATAGGTGTGCATTAGATCAAATGCACAAATTCTCTCTAATAACCACTTTCTGTACAGGGTTTTTGACTTTAAAGTTTTAGTGATGGACAAATTATCAATCATCTCATTTTGAAATATCTTGCATTCAAAAAAAAAAGCGTAACTTTGTACTACAAATGACCATTTTTTTGTAGACTGCTACCCAGTGAATTGTAATTCAGCAAGATGCTAATATCTTCTGAAATAAATGAATCTATGTTTGTTTTTATTCCTTTTGGGGAGAAGATTACCTATAGGGAACTGAACCTTCCTTATTGTGAAGCAACCTGGGCAGCCTTCCATCAGTGCAAACATCTCCTCTCGAGGATTCCTGATCTGCAGAAGAATGCATTGATTCTGTATGATCGACTCAAGAAACAATGTACAGAAATGGGACATACTTACGAAGATCAAGATGAATTAACTCATTTTGTGTCTAGAGATATGTCTATTGAGCATGCTTGGCAATCTCTTGAATTTTTGAAAGACCAACATATAGTGATTAGGGAGAAAAAAATGGTGTTTCTGCCTCATCTTTACAACTCGGAAAAGAACATTGCCATGTTTATTGGTGACCTTTTGTCAAACCACGCATGGCAACTAGGTGTTGATGTGAGACAAATACTTAACATTTCTGAGATATCAAGAGAAATAGTAGATATGAAAATGAATGTTACCCAGGCTCATGAAGTGGAGTGCATGAAAGAAAATAATCCAGAAAGTCACAATTGTGAAAATAGCTTCCTTAAAAAGGAATTGGAGTCTACATCTGGTACCCAAAGTAAAGCAGAGGTAGACTTGGATCAGGTGACTGCTCTGGAAAAGATTTGTGCTAATCCTGTCACAATCATAAGTGGAAAAGGAGGCTGTGGGAAGAGTACAATCGTTAGCTGCCTTTTTCGTCACTTAAAGCAGATGGAAAAAGAGATGGAAGAAGTGGAAGCTGCTTCTAAGGATTTTGAGGGAGACCTGGATGCATCGGAGGAGTGGAATACTTTTAATCATCTTTGGGAATCAGAAAATACTTGCACAAAAAATCTTTTGAATGTATTATTTACTGCACCTACGGGGAGAGCAGCAAGCCTTTTGAGTGAGAAAACTAGATTTCCTGCATATACCCTGCATCAGGTAAGGATTTTTTAAAATTGACTTCTAAAATAAATTTTGGCAATGTCATTCTTGTTTTGGATAAAACTTATCATTGATCTTTTTTAGTGATACTTAACCGCTATTAATGATAATTTTAAGGTATCGGCACGTAAATATCAGTATTATATTTTCAGGCATCCTGACCATCTGAAATACATTATATGCTGCATCTTTTTTTTTCCCCCTTTCTTAAGCGTTTCTCAAGTGCCTTTCTAGGGCATTGAATCTTTTAACATTTTTTGGTAGTCTGAGTAGTCTACAGCATTTAAAATTAACTGCAGAAATCTTCCCTAGGCAGCAGAGCTGTTCTCCAGTGCCATGTTGCGTAGAAATCGTATTAATGCCAACACATTTATGAAGAACCACAGGCTGGAGTAGAGTAATGAGGTGGATTTCATTCATGCAACGTTTTCCTAACTACTGTGTCTCCGGATATATATTTTGCAACATTTTTTAGAAAAAGAGTAGACTGTTTGTTAATAAACTTAAGTCTCCGTTGACGTAGGTAACGAAAATGCTGCAGAGAGATTGGAAGAGTGGAATAACTTAAATAAAAGTTGAGATGATACAATGCATTGAGAAGTGGGTAGTTCCCTTTACCTCTTCCCCATGTGGCCACTTACTGGTCCAATCAAGTGGACATAGCAAGAATGTTGGGAATCTCAGCTAGGAATGTAAGGAGTAAGGAGAGGAGTAAGACCGAATGGGTGAGTCCTTGATTCTTTGCATGTTGAAGTTCAGAACTTCAGTTAACACCCCAAAAGACAACATTAGAAGAGACCACACTCTGGCTACCTTTGCAAGACAGTTGTTCACAGTCTTTCAGATTCGTGACTCAGATTATATTGTTCCTGTGTTGTTTGTAGATCATCTATAGTTTTAAATCATGGAAGTCATCACAGAGTCAAGAAGAACTGCCATGGAAGTTTTCCACCGTGACAGTTCTGGTTGTGGATGAAGGAAGCTTGGTGTCTGTACAGATTCTTAGCTTAGTCCTAAAGCTCTTATGTGAACATGCTCAACTTGCCAAACTTATTATTCTTGGTAAGTGGAAAAATACACAGTTAGGATTATACAGTATTTAATAATACACAATATACAGTGTACACATCAAAGTTACTACTGTTCTTGCTGAGTCTCTAAAATCCAGTTGTTCTGTTGTTGGATATCTGCTCATGTGTATAGTCAGATGAGATGGAAAACAACTGAAGGGTCCACCTGTCAGTACAATATTATCGTTAATTTTTAGTGGTTTTGTCTGATTCTGAAAATAACGACTTCTTTTAGTAGCTCCTTATTATATCTTGTGAGTGGGAATTTTTTCTGTTTTCCTTAAGCTTTAAACAAGTTAGTGTTACCATATGAATCAGACATTAGTTGATGAATTGCATGCTGAGGATCATATTTTTAGAATCAACTTGTTTTTAGTATAGGATGGAAAAAAAAGTGTAAAATCAGATCTTTCACCTCTGCTTCCTTGGAGAAGCAGAGGTGTGCTATTGTTGTGCTTTTTCATGTGCTATTGTTGGCACTCAGTTTTAGATATGTAGCTTTTAAAATGTGTTGGGATAAGGTGATCAGTATCTATTCATCATACAGAGTCATTTGTACCTATTAGCAAAGCATTATTTAAAGGACTTTAGCTGTTCTACAGTTTGATTCCAGGGATCCTGAAAAGTTTAATTTCACATAAAGTGTACTGGACTTAGCATATGATTACTGAGTCTTGCACCATGAGAAAGGTTGAGTATTACTTTCAGAGATTTTTAAGACATATTTTCAGAGACACTTTGTTGTCGCTCCTCACAAATGTTAATTTGTGTTGTTTAGGTGATACTAGACAGCTCCCAAGCATAGATCCTGGTAACATGCTGGCTGATATCTTCGAGGGCCTGAAATCCAGAGGGCTCTCTGTGGAACTGCGAACTAATCACAGAGCTGAATCACAATTAATTGTAGACAACGCAACAAGGTAGCATCTTACAATGTATACAAGAAGTATTCTTGTAGTCGTTCTGCTCCTTTATTTCTATATGGAAGTAATCCAGTATGCAGTTTTTTTAAAACATGAAATAGCAAAATCTGTGTCCAAGTGCTCAAGACCATTTGGTATCAGTGGAAGTTTTAGGATCATCTGAATCTTTGCAAGATGTCCAAAATTACAACCAAAGTTTTACAGACCCCTTTCCCCTCCTATTCCCCTTCTGTTTTTAGCAGCACTTCTGTATTACTCCATACTCCTCCCGTGAAGAGGGCTCTATTGATAATAATAACTATCAACTCTAGTGCTGAAGTATTTGGAGAATAAATTAGGATTTTTCCCTGTGAATTTAAGTTATGCGCAGAAAATAGTCATTCAGTGTGTATATGTTTTATAGTGGGTGAGCACTTTTAAAATGCAACATTCAGGATGATGCAGAGGGTACACTACAATTCTTTAACCAGAAATTATTTTTCTCTTCTTTTTTCCCACCACTCCTGTTGTCCAGAATCTCTCAACGGAAACTTCCTGAATTTGATGAGGTGCTTAAAGTTTCTGGTTGGAAGGGAGAACTGACCATGCCAAGCCCAGAGAAGAAATTCATTTTTATTGCTTTGCCTTCTGGTGGGGGCTGTGACAGTAGGTGTATATTTATAGTCTGTGATCTTGTCTTCCCGTTCTGTAAAACATACACTATTGGGGTCTAATGAACAATTTTAGTCATAGAATCATAGAACCATTATGGTTGGAAAAGATCCTCAAGATCATGGAGTCTGTCTATAAAACCATCACCACCGTTCCTGCTAAACCATGTCCCTAACTGCCTCATCTACGTGTTTGTTTTGATTTAAAGCAAAATAGTGGATTCATAGTTTACCTTTTTGCCTTATGTGAATGGGCACAGAAAACCCATTAAGGACAGAGGATACTCTGTAGGCTTCCAGTTTTGAATTGGGAGTATTGCAGCTGAGACCAGTGGCATCAAACACGAGCAGCTCTTTTTGTTGCAACTGAGCTGTCAGTCCTTAAAAGATTAAATTTTTCGGAGTTGAGGGATTTGGGGTAAAAGCAACTGTTATAGGGGGTGTTTTGGACAGCAATGTGTTGCGCTCTACTCTGGAATCAAATTAAGAAAATGGAAACAGAAAAAAAGGCTCTTGAAAGAGGGGTCACCAAGATTTCTTTCAAAATGTTTTGGGGCTGGGCTTAGTCTTTTGACTGTTATTGGATAGGTGCCTCCACTTTGTATGCATGTGGAAGAAAATAAGCGTGAATATTATAACTGCACCTTGCGTAAATAACTTCATCATTAAACTTCAAATGAGTATATTCTGTAACATCTGAATGGATTGTTCCATGGATTAAAAATAATCTAGCCAATGTTTCTTTAATATGCTGTATCAAAACGCTATTTGGCATGAAATACATTTAGTCAGATGTTTAATAAAAATAAATAAGAACTACTGTTCTTCGATAACATTTTTCTCTTTCCAGATTTTAATTGTGAGATAGCTACCTGATTCTTTTTGGGGGAAGTATATTTATGTGATTTTGTTGCTGCTGTTTGGTTTCGTTTCTTTCAAACAAGTTGAAATGGCACTGAAGCAAGAAATAAGCAAAGGCAATATCACACCAAATTAGATTTTTCTCTCTTAAATTGTTCTTCTGCATATGTTTATATCTTACCTGTTATGTCTTCTAAATCAGATTTGCAGAATGCCATCAAGACTTTACTTGCAAAAGGACCAGGATTGCAGGATGCCAAACAATCACAGTTCATTGCTTTTAGAAGGTAACAGAGCGTGGAGGCAAACACCGAAAAAATCCTTGCTAGCAGCCATGCTCTAAAAACATATAAATGTGTTGAGTTGGAGACACTAGTGGAAATACTGTTAAAAATGCTAGAGGGAAAAACAGGCCAGTGTCTTTCCCTTTGCTTGTGGTTGTCCCCTCTTTCTCCATGGAGAGTAACTTCACTTTTCTACAAGAATAATGTGTTTTGCACCATGCTTTTTACCTTTGCATTCATGTTGCTCTGTATTAATTGTTTTAAGGAAACAAGGGATAGATGTTAGTGGTCAGTCTTTGCACTGGATTCCCCAAGAGCCTGTGCTGTAAGATGAGGTCCAAACTGCTTGGAGGAACTCACAAAATACAAAGTAATGGACCTTAACCCCATGAGAGAGATTAAAAACGAGATTGTGGTCAATATTCAAATATTCAACATTCCCCATCCTGAAAGGGAGGAATTCCAGGGTGCCTAGTGGGAGCAGACAGCCTGTTGCCTGTGCCTGTGCGACCAGAGCAGGTGGATGTTCATCAGTGACAGAAGATGCTGGCATTTTGATCATCTCACGAGGGCCAGGACTGGTGGTCTCTGATGAGCATTAGTGCTTCTGTTAGTGGTGGATTTCTGCTTCCTGGATATTTGGAAGCACAGTAGGAGTCATTTGAAAAGGCAGAGGGGAGACGTATGGCTCCAGCAGACTTCCAAGAAGGGCAGGGAATGCTGCTTGTCGTTGATAATGTGAACTGTTGCAGAAGCTTAAAGAGCATGGGAGATCCCACAGAAATACTGGAAGTTTTGATAGTACTGGAGCCCACAGTGTTACAATTTCACTGAAAAGGGTACTGAAAGGAAAAACTTTTCGCTTGTGTTTGTGAAGAACTTTCACAAATAAAAATGCCAGCAATTAAAAATGCCACAATTAAAAATGCCAGCACTATAACTAGGTTACCAGTGTGCAAATAAGTTGGTGTAGACATTTTAGCAAGTTTTATCAGTTTGCTGTGAATACCGAGTAACTCTGGAGTCAGTTTAATTTCTCCAGTCTGCTTGCAGGTGCTGCAATGTTATTTACAGTTTCCATTTAAGATTTTTTGTGGTGTGTTTACAGCTACTTAATCTGCCTTTAAAAGTTAAAACTCCTGTTTTTTATGTTTTAGGCAAGATTGTGATCTAATAAATGAAATGTGTTGCCAGCATTATTCAAACCATTTAACTAGGTAAGCCAGTATTTTGCAATTTTTCCATTTATGAATCTCTTGGTTTTTGAAAGTGAAGCAACCTAAAATAAAATTGTAGACCTGGGTTTAGAGATTTATGTCGATCTGATTCAATACATTAGAGGTCATTTTTACAATTAGGAATCTTGCTTTGGTGAGCCCTTCAGTTTTAGCCTGGACTGCAAAATGGTTTGCATTTAATTGAAACTGCTTGTCAATACATGAATTTCAAGTTTTTGAGTATTTAAAGTTGACATTAAAGCTCCTTGAAAAAAATAGGGTTATATTTTTCCCACTATTTGATTCTGAAATGTTCTTGGAAGCAGCCTTTGAGTACTTCTCCATATTGATGCTTTTTACTAAAAAGTTTTATGAAACTTAGACAAACACCTTTTAAAATTAAGGGTTGTCTTAAGTGTTTTAAATATTTTCAGTATTTTTAATCTGGTCTAAATATACTGGATTTATTCAGTAGAAGGAAGCAGCAAAAATACTGAGTGATGTTATAATCCCTTTCTTTTTTTTTTTTTTTCCCCTGATGCAGAGACCATAAAAGACAACTTCTGTTTCGAACCGGTGACAAGATTTGCTGCATGCGAAATACTTACCTGAAGGATCTCTTGCCGGGACCTGGTTTGAGCAAGGATCCCAATCACCATAAATGCAAAAATGGAATCCCCCCGCTTGCCGAGGATGGCAAACGACTGTGCAATGGAGATATATTTTTCATAACAGATGTAAGTAGTTGCTGCAACAACTTGCACAAAATCTCAAAGTAAAAGAATTCACATTTTAAATTTTTAATTTATAATAAAAGGCAGTAGAGAATTGAGCAAAAAACATCCCTGGAAGTTCATGTAAAAACTGTTTCAGCTGGTTCTTGAAATACAGTCTTTAAATAAAGAGTAAAGCTAGTATGACGGCCAGAGTCCTTCCCTGGCATAAAATGAAGCTGACAAATTTAACCAACTCCCATCCCTTTATTTTCTTGCTGGGTTGATTGAGTTGAATTGACTTGACAAGGAGTCCAGTGAATACTAGGGTTTGTGCTAGGCAAGAGGGAAGCAAAAAGAGTTGGTGGGAGAGAGCTGAATCCTCGTATTGTTAGTTTCTTTTCTTTTTTAGTGTGTTACCTTACCCTAAAATACTAAGTTTTCTGGGAGTTAAGACTTCAGTTTTTAACTTTTTAAGTCGGGTAGGCTGTATGTTGAGAGTAATTTTCCTCAGAGCTAGTCAGTAAAAGACAGCAATCCTTGGATTTAACATCTGAAATGATTTCACTTGTTTGGCACTGAAACAGTTTAAGTTCATCTTTAAGGGAAAGATACCCATATAGACACACGTAGATGTATAGACATTGGTCAAACAACTGATAGGAGCTTACTGATGTGTTCTTGTGCTTTGTCCTTAGGATGTAGAAGTTAATAAACAACGATTATTGACCATCAGCAGCACATACGGCTCCACGCACACTGTAGTGTATAAGGCACTGAAGAAGCTGTGTCATGTAAAACATGCATGGGCCAGAACTATTCACACATTTCAGGTAGGAAGTTTTAGGAGCTGGTAAAACTTTACCATGCCTTTATCTTGCTAATTGGCTGTATTTTCACATGAAAGTGTCAGAGACTGTCTTGAAACCAAAATTCCTTGAATGCAGGGGGCACTTTCCAGAGAATCTCCAGTTCTCTTTCCTTGTTCTTGTGATCTTTTTTTTTTTTTTAATTGGAGATTGCATCTTGGTAAGGAGCTCTTGCACATATTTCAGGGTTCTGAGGAAAAAACCGTTGTCTATGTAGTTGGGAACCCAGGCCGTCAGCACTGGCAGCACGTGTACACAGCTGTGACCAGAGGACGCTGCCGAGTCTACGTGATAGCTGAGGAGATGCACCTCAGGAAAGCAGTCACTAACAAGAACAGGCCCAGAAAAACTCGGTTACAGAAATTTTTGAGAGAGACAATTGCAGAAATAAACAACCGCCCAAAACAAACTCCTCCCCTGGAGGAGAGCTGGCAACCTGAGACTCAGTCTGTATCCGCAACTCAAGGTGCTCCTTACCCCTCTGAACCGGTAACTAACTCGGTTAAACAAGAAGGGTCTGCAGCCCTTAATGAAGAGCAGGCCAGTAATGCACTGCAGCTAAGTCCAGGTAAAAGACAAAGAAGTCCTGTGATGAATTCAGAGGATGCTATGAAAACATCCTGGGTAAGTACCTTTTCACCAAGAAAGTATAAACCAAATTATTGCACTCTTGTTTCAGCTGCGCAAGTTTTTTATTTTCTCTTTTTTTTATTTTTTAATTTTCCAAGTATTAGTAATCTGACCAGTAGTCTGTGAGCAATCAAATTTGGCAGGTGTCTTTCCAGGGTAATATATGTCTAATAGGGAAAAAAAAATTAATGCCAGTAGCAAGTAAACTTAGACATCTTGTGACTAATTGCAGTGATGCTGGCTAGCTTAGACAATACTAGCTTTGTCCTTGTGTACAGATGTCAACTTTGATAACATTTTTGTTTTGTTTTGACAGCCAAATCAACAAGACACCCCACTCGGGTCTTCCAGACTCAGGAATCTAAGTTTGGAACATGTAACTCCTAAGAAGCTTTTCAAAAACTAACAATCAATCAGTTGTCCTCTTAATGAAGACACTTGTTTTTGACAGCTTTATTTTAAAGATTTCTGGGACAGAGAAACCAGATATGCAGAGATTTTAACAGCTTTCCTATATTTCCATTTTCTTTGAAGGAGAGCTTGTTTTAAAGGGAGCCTTTTATATTTTCAATGATCTGCTTTTAGTAGAAGATTCATTGGTGCGTTAGTCATCAAAAATCAAGTCATTTTTTTATTTTGGAAAAAAAAAAAGAACTACAAGAATTACAGGGCTATTAGAAGCCGGATGTTCCCTTGAATAATACATGGGAATTTCTTGTTTTAAACATTCTATCTGTACCAGGCTGTATGCAGCTCATGATGCTACAGCATCAGTGAGAAACTCTTACTGCCTTTCTGAAGCAACAGTGTGCTCTTAAGCCAGAAAAATGGATGGTGTACAAAGGGAATTTCAGTTGTGCTGGATAGGGCAGAACTACAGGCATGAGGCTTGGCTGGGTCACGATGTTAATCCTGTCACGCACAGAAGGAGCAAGCAGCAGTCACAGGAAGGACAAGGAAGGACATTGCCCTTTGGTACCTTAGGAGATGTGAAACTTGCCATTGCTCTTTCTACCCAATGGAGTTTTTGCTGCTCGTGATCTTGGTAACAAAAGCAAAATTGGGAGTCACAGTTCAAATAATGTACCGCGTATTGTCCTTTCTTTTTTCTTTTGTATTGCATGACTTCATGCATTGTAATTTTCAAGATTAAATAACCTGAATGTTTTACTCAAACTTCAGACCAGCTCTACTGAAATTTGAATGGCTTACGTTCTCACTCTTTTTTCTGCCATAGCCTTTTTTTTTCTTAAGGATGCCTCAAATGTAAAGATGATATTTTTTATTAAAACAATAATGCTATGTGTGTGGAAAAAAACTTGAAGTAGAAAAATACTACCTCGTTGTTAATGTCTTTAAATCACTGTTTATTTCAATTTATACAGTTTTTCCATACAAATATTTGCAACAGTTTGAATTTCAAAAAACATACATAGACGATAAATATCATGCTATTAAAGTATTAAATTTGTACAAAAATACTTTACAGTTTAATACTTATTTGTTACAAATAAAAATACATATTTAAGTGACTCATGGACATTATTTTTTACATGATTCAGCATTGAATGTCATTTCTGGCAGTGCTGAAATATAAACTGGATGTACTTGTGTGTGCAGGGCAGGTGACCTTGTTCATTTATGGGAAACAGCAATAAGGATACAGTTAGACAGTTTAAATTGACCAGAAAACTCTGTGATTGCTTAGATATGGAGACTCTACAAATGTACAAATCCAGTATCTTTATATTCACCAATAACAATAATTACCATAACACCTTGAATACTGGAAGAAACCAAAGCAGCTGCTGGTGAGCTTATAATGCAACTGGCAGTATTTTATTGCTTTGGGGTGGGGGTCAGAGAGATTTCGTGTAATGTGTTTGTAAAATATATTTACAATTCTCAGTTCTAAAAACGTGTTGCACAGGGTATGTTTATCATAAAGAAGGCTGAAAACAAAGCTTATTTAAATGGACTTTAGTCCCCTCAAGAAATTGTTTGACTTTATAAAGAGAGCTCATATTTAACACTACAAGTTCAGAGTTTTATGGAGCGTTAGGGAGCTTTCATATCAGTTTTGCATGTAATTAAGAAAAAACCCTTCAAAACCTTTCTAATTTGTCTAAACTCATTTTAGTTTTACTCTTGTCACTAGTTCTTCTGATGTTTTATCCCACTGTCTTAAAAAGTCTCTGCTTAAAAACAACAGCAAAAAAAACCCTCACAGGGTGCAACACATATCATTAAATATTTCATTGCATAGGGAATAACATATTTCTAATAAAAATTTACCACAGTGGGGGAGTAATGTTCACCACGTACAGCAGCTTCCTATGTGGATTTTGTTAAAAACGTCTAAACGGTGCCTCTGTCTGAAGGCAGTTCATGCCAGGGACCTCATGTCCCCCCCACTTCCAGCTACAGCCAATTTACAAGAAATCCTGGGGCAACCCCGTGCCCTTCTTGTTTTGCCATCAGACAGTCCCTGGCCATCAAAAAATGCTTTTAAAAACAGTGTAACCTGGACATGCTGCTAGGAGAGGTTAACGCTGTGCTTTCCCCTCAAACCACAGCTGCTGTTGGAGGGCAAGGAACATTTACACCATGTTTAAACGTCTCCCCGTTTTTGGGGATGAGGGGGCCTTTATGCTTTTTGCTCCTCGTTGCTTACAGTAGACTGTTTATAATAAAACAACTATGAATTAAAAGTCTTTCAAAAGTGACCATGAATGGATACAAGCCTTGAGACGGACAGACGGATCCTCCTGTGCTTTAGTGCCGCGCGGCGTCCGCGCGCGAGCCTCAGGAAAGCCTTGAGGGGGTTTAGCACCGTAATGGCCGCGTTGCCGAGCGTCCCAGCGCGGGGCCGGCTGCTATAAGGTGTTGGTCGGATCCCGCGTGGGCTCGGCGCCGCCCGCGAGGCCGCTCGGGTGAAGGAGGGCGCCCCCCTGGCCGCCCCACTCGCCGCCTGTCGAGGAGGAGGGCGGCTCCTCGGCGCTGCCCTGCCGCGATGCCAGCGGGTTCCTGCTGCTCACCAGCTCCAGCTTGTTGCCGGGCTCGGCAATGAGCGGCACGACGAGGCAGCAGTCAAAGTCTCTGGTACGGACGTGGTTTACCTGGAAGACGGGAAGACTCCTTTTTGTTACTGCTTCAGGAGAGCAAAATGAGATGGCCCAAACTGACAGACCAGGACCATCATCTGCAGTAGGATGGAGACCTCGTTTACCTCCAGCAGGCAGCACAGTGCCCAGTCTGAAGACCATGGTTAGTTTTCTCTGAGGGGCACCTGGTTGCATGGGGGTGGCTGCTGTCGCCCGTCACAGTGTCTGCTCCATAAGTGACTTCTAACAGCACGTTTTTCCTCACTATCACAATGCTCATTAATTTAAATACATCAGCTCATATACAAAACTTCAGAAGGTTTTTGGTGCTTTTATGGGGCTGGCTGACAGAAAAAAAAAAGATTTTCCCGCCTCAGTGTAGCACTGGTAAGTGTGGGGTTTAGCGGCTACACTGATTAGAAGCAGGGCGATGCCATGGGAAAGCCTAACGTTCTAGAGAGCATCTGCATCCTTTGCTGTTTGAAATAATCTTCCTTCTTCCCCTGCCGCCCCCATATACACCCTTTCCTAGTGGAGACACCCGCACGGTGCTGATATTACAAACACAATGCGTGAGGAGTGGTGACCGATGTGCCTGCGGAGGGAGCGCCTGCCCTCCCCGTCCTGCTGTGCCCCGCTCGCGCTGCCAACGCTACCTGCAGGAGTCTGTCGTACGGCTTTAAGCCGCCCAGGTCCCCAGGCCCGGCCGGTCGAATGTTTTTAACGTACACTCCCTTTTCCAGCAAACCGTCTGAGACGCTGAACCCAAAATCCTCTCCATCGGAGTCCTTGTACAAAGTTACCTGTGAAGGAAATGCGACATGATGAGGGAGAAGAAGAGGAAAAAAAAAAAAAAAATCTCGTGCACACGTCTGCATTGCTGCATGCACGAGGCAGCCTTTCTTTGTAGGTTCATTTCCCCATAGCATCATCACTTACCTGCTAGTTTTGATATTCCTAGTCTCACCTGAGGCCCCTGCCCCCTACATCTTCGCTTAATATGTTCAGAACCTCCTTAGCATTCAGGAATAAGCTGTGACTCTTCTTCTGGCCAATTGGATTTTTTTTTTTTTTGGCTTGCTTCTTCTCTATCTGCCAGGGTATCTGTGCATGGGGATTAGGCTGGTCTGTTCTGCTTAACTAAGTGCCTTTAATGTCAGTTTTTTTTTGCAGGAGAGGGGGAATATCTGCATAGATATTGTGACTCACCCGGGTTTGGACTGTCGAAACATAATTAATAACATCAAACCTAGCCCAAGTCACTACAATAAAGGCTGTAAATGTTGGCTTAACTTTCAAGGAATGGTGGGCAGCGGAGCCAGCACCTCTGCAAGGGCAAGGACAAGAGCGGGCTCGGAAAGATGGAAATCCTGAGCAAAAGCAGCTCCGTGACACTGGCACAACTCTGGTCTAGCAACTATATATCAAAAGTGGGGCATTCAAAAGCACAAAATAGCCATAACACTATTTTAGGTGAAGGTTTTTGAGGTAGTCAGAGCATGAGGTCTTTATAGGTTGTGTTGGAGTTCAGCTATTTCATAGAGGAGGCTTCAGAAACTGGTAGGTACTTGATATGCTTAGGTTTAGGTTTGAAATGATAGGTTTAGGTGTGTTTTTTCTTTTTTTCTTGCTTCTCTCTCACAGTTGAAATACAGTGTTTACTGCTACCATTTATTTCACGCTGGATTCAAAACACTAGCTTGCCTGATGAAACTACCCCATCAAGAGTGCTCTGTAATTATAATGGCTTGGCATTGCCATTGGTAGCGCCCAGTAAATTTAAGGAGAGGATCCTCAACTTGCTTGTGGCACGAAGATTCAGTGATAATCTCACTGATGAAGAATTAATAAAATTTTCAGTGTACTAGGAGGCAATGTCCATATGACTCCCCTAAGAAGCTTGATGTCCCAAGTATGAATGCTCTGACTTTTTGTAGGCATGGTTAAACTTTATGTCAAACATTTGCTTTTTATTTCAGATGCGTCCTTCATATTAAGCATGATGGTAACATCATGAGAGAGAGTTTTTCTCTCAAGGATGTTTGAAGCTGCTATGAGACTGCTGCAAGACTAACCTTCAAATGAGACTACAAACTAAAAGAAAAAAAATAAAAAGGTGATTGATTTTTTTGACATATTCCTATGTATTTTATGACCAAAATGAGAAATAATTAGCAATCAGCTGAGACACAAACTCTATTTAAATGAGGTTATAACTTCTTCCACACTGACACAAAAAATAGAAGTTTCCTCACGCCAGCTGCTTCTTAAAGAAGCCTTAGTGAAAGTAATTGTAAAAACGTGATTCCATGCTTAAGAGGAGAGGAGACTTAACATATATGCTCTTCTAGCACAGGCAGTACAGTGTTTGAAGGAACTTCCCTTTCCTTCCCATTCTTTTTCCTTCCTCCTTCCCCTTCTGGCAGACACTGGCGCTAATGGAGCTGAATCCATCCAGATGGTATCCTTGCCCAAAGGCAGGATTGGCTGCATCTAATGCATTAGCAAGAGCTGTTTATTCTGTCTTATTTTTTGAA